CCAGCACTTTGGGAGGCCAAGGCGGGCAGATAATTTGAAGTCAGGTATTCAAGACCAGCCTGGCCAATACGGTGAAACCCCATCTCTACTAAAAATACAAAAATTAGTTGGGTGTGGTGGTGCATGCCTGTAATCCCAGCTATTCGTAGGCTGGGGCAAGAGAATCACTTGAACCCAGGAGGTGAAAAAAAAAAAAAAAAAAGATTGCACCACTGCACTCCAGCCTGAACGAGTGAGACTCGGTCAAAAAAAAAAAAAAAAAAAAAATTAGGCTGGGCACAGTGGCTCACACCTGTAATCCCAGCAAAAAAAAAAAAAAAAACGGGCGGATCACGAGTAGACGAGACCATCCTGGCTAACATGGTGAAACCCCGCCTCTACTAAAAATACAAAAATTCAGCGCAGGCATGGTGGCACATGCCTGTAGTCCCAGCTACTCGGGAGCTGAGGCAGGAGAATCGCCTGAACCCAGAAGACGGAGGTTGCAGTGAGCTGAGAAAGCGCCATTGCACTCCAGCCTGGGTGACAGAGCGAGGCTTTGTCTCAAAAAAAAAAATTAGCCAGGCATGGTGGAGTGCTCCTGTAATCATAGTTACTTGGGAAGCTGAGGCAGGAGAATAGCCTGAACCCAGGAAGCGGAGGTTGCAGTGGGCCGAGATTGTGCCACTGCACTCCAGGCTGTGCATCAGAGCAAGACTCTGCCTCAAAAAAAAAAAAAAAAAAGAAAATACAGTCATTCATATGATGGAATATTATGTATGAACCTTTTCAAAGAAATAGAGTTACTTAGAGCTATATTATATGTACTGTTAATAAAGATCTTCAAAAATGTAGAATTAATTCCTTAATAACTTAAAGATCAAATTACCATATAATCCAGCAATTTTATTTTGGATATATATCCAAAAGAACCAAAAAGAGGCATTAAAAAAATTGGTACATGAATGTTCACAGTAGCACTAGTTACAATAGTAAAAAAGTGCAACCTGATATCCATTAACCGATAAATGGTTAAATAAAATGTGGTATATCCATACCAAGAAACATTAGCCACAAAAATGAATGATGCACCGACACATGCCACAATATGTATGTACCTTGAAAACATTATGCGAAGTGACACAAAAGTCACATACCATCTGATTCCATTTATATAAAATAGCTAGTAGAGGAAAATCCACAGAACAGACAGATTAGAAGTTGCCAGAACCTGGGAGAAAGGAAAATGGAGAGTAATTGCTCAATGTGTACAGAGCTTCTTTTTGGGGTGGTGAAAATGCTGGAAATTAGTGGTGATAGTTGCACAACATTGTGAATAAGTACCTAAAGTCACCAATGGTAAATTTTATGTTATATGTATTTGAGCACAATAAAAAGATAAAAAGATTTAAACATATATACTGTTATATATAAAAAACAAGTGCAAAATCAATTCCCTCAGTCTGACTCCTGAAGCAACTACTCTCTATAGTTTCTTTTTTTTTTTTTTTGAGACAGAGTTTCACTCTTGTTGCCCAGGCTGGAGTGCAGTGGCACAATCTCAGCTCACTGCAACCTCCGCTTACCAGGTTCAAGTGATCTTCCTGCCTCAGCCTCCTGAGTAGCTGGGATTACAAGTACCCACCAACACGCCTGGCTAATTTTCTGTAGTTTTAGTAGAGATGGGGTTCCACCATGTTGGTCAGGCTGGTCCTGAACTCCTGACCTCAGGTGATCCACTCGCCTCAGCCTCTCAAAGTGCTGGGATTACAGGCATGGGCCACCGCACCCAACATCTTAACAGTTTCTTAGTATTTCTCTAGACTGTCTGTATATACACAAGCATAACTGTATATGTATGTATGTATCTGTATGTAAATTTTCATGCTCATATGTATATATGTATATCCCTCCCCAAAATGTTATAGTAGTTATGTAAAAAGACATTAGATGATCAGTCAGGTGCAATCATCTATGTGTGTTACGATGGGGCATTACTAAAATTTCCAAATGAGCTTTAATTCCCCAAATTATTAATGTACTTCTCCATATCACAGAATATATTCATGAGAAGTCAACATTACATTTAAAATTACTTCATCTAAGGATGGGCACAGTGGCTCATGCCTGTAATCCCAGCATTTTGGGAGGCCGAGGAGGAAGGATGGCTTGACCCCAGGAGTTCAAGACCAGCCTTGGCAACAAAGGGGGACCCTGCCTCTACAAAAAATTAACAAATTAGGGCCGGGCGCAGTGGCTCACACCTGTAATCCCAGCACTTTGGGAGGCTGAGTGGAGAGATCACGAGGTCAGGAGATCAAGACCATCCTGGCTAACACGGTTAAACCCTGTCTCTACTGAAAACACAAAAAATTAGCCGGGCGTGGTGGCGGGCACCTGTAGTCCCAGATACTCGGGAGGCTGAGGCAGGAGAATAACTTGAAGCCAGGAGGCAGAGGTTGCAGTGAGCCGAGATTATGCCACTGCACTCCAGCCTGGGCAAAAGTGCAAAACTCTGTCTCAAAAAAAAAAAAAAAAAAATTTGGGTGTGGCACATGCCTGTGGTCCCAGTTACTTGGGAGGCTGAGATGGGAGAATCACTTGACCCTGGTAGGTCAAGGCTTCGGTGAGCCATGATTCTGCCACTGCCCTCCATCCTGGGCAACAGAGTGAGACACTGTCTAAAAAAAAATAAACAAATAAATAAAATTACTTCATCTAATAGTAATTAAATTAAATGCTATCAGAAATATACAACCAAGCTGGGTATGGTGACATGCACCTGTAGTCCCAGATACTTTTGAGGCTGAGGTAGGAATACTGCTTAAGGCTAGGAGTTTAACACCGCCCAGGGCAAGAGAGCAAGACCCTGTCTCTGCAAAAATGAAAATAAATTAGCCAGGCATGGTGGCACATGCCTGTAGTCCAAGCTACTTAGGAGGCTGAGGTGGGAGGATCGCTTGAACCCAGGAGTTTGAGGTTATAATGAGCTATGATGGCACCACTGCACTCCAGCTTGGACCACAGAGCAAGACCTTGTCTCTTTAAAAAAAAAAAAAAAGAAAAGAAAAGTACAACCACAATTAATAAGGGGAACAAGAATGAAAGTTACCCCAAGATGATATACACTCATTCAACATTCAACAGATAACTACTGACTCCTTACTTGGTGGCAAGCACCATATACTACACATCTATTCCAAGGATTCTAGTCTTTCAATTATCTGAAGCAGTAACTATTGATGGTTAATGAGATACACAGGAAGGAACAATTTCTTCAGGTCCTACGTGGTCTCACAACCTCTAGAGTCCATATACTAAAGAGTCTCCTAAAGTGATTTAGAAGAGTTAGGAAGTCCCTTAAGAACTTTAGTACCTGAAAATCACAGGTACAAGAGAATATCCAGTTCCCCAAAGAACTTCTACATGAGACCTACAAAAAAGATCCTTAAAGCAACTATGGTACTCTTTCCCGAGAAGGAAAATGAACTCATTGTATCCTACAGGCAGCCAAAGGCTTACTAAAACTTTTACACCTAACTTTTACAACTGATAGGTATAATTTCAACTTTTCTGACTACATTCCTTAGTTTATTAAGGCTTGTGATACTGTATGTCTTTATATATTATTTGGAAAATATTGTCAAGGAATAAAGAGGACCTAAGGAAAGGCAAAGGGAAGCCAAATAACTGTAGCATGTTATAATCTGACCTTACCCATAACTAGGTAGAAAGGCTTTGGGAAATGTTTATTCTAGTTCAGTGGCCTTTTTTCTTTTTTTTTGGATCATGCATCCTTGGTAAAATATTTTCAACCCCACATCCCCAAATATGGTATTTACCTACATAAATATGTCTATACTAATATGTTATGTACATTGTAAAATACATGCAAATTTTTAAATTAAAAAACGAGATAGGGCAGGGTGCAGTGGCTCATGACTGTAATCCTAGTACTCTGGGAGGCTGAGGCGGGCAGATCACTTGGGTCCAGGAGTTCAAAACCAGTCTGGGCAATAAGGCAAATCCCGTTTCTACTACAAATACAAAAATTAGCCAGGCATGGTGGTGCATGCCTGTAGTTCCAGCTATTTGGGAGGCAGAGGTGAAAGGATAGCTTGAGCTGGGGAAGTGGAGGTTCCAGAGAGCTGAATCATGCCACTGCACTCACACCTGGGTGACAGAGTGAAACCCCGACTCAAAAAAAAAAAAGAGAGATAGAAAATTTAGTATTTCAAATGTTATTGATGTAGAAAATCTTTTTATTATTAAAATTTATTTTAACAATGTATTTTTAGTGCAATGAATGTAAACTGAAATTTTTTCTTTCTTTTTTTTTCTTTTCTTTCCTTTTTTTTTTTTCAGAGACAGGGTCTCGATATGTTGCCCAGGCTGGAGTATGGTGGCTATTCACAATCACAATCCTAATGCACTGCAGCCTTGAACACCTGGGCTGAAGTAATCCTTCTGCCTCAGCCTCCCACATAGCTGGGACTACAGTCATGAGCCACCACACCCAGCTAAAACTTTTTTTCTTATTCTTGGTTTAGCACTTTGCTATATACCAAGAGGTAGGTATTATTTCTACTTTATAGACGAGAAAACTGAAGTTTGCGAGATTATATAATCTGACAAATGTCAGCACTATCATTGCAGAGCAGGGATGGAAACTTCTATCTGTGGAACTCTAAAGCCAATGCTCTTAACCAATATATTCTTAAAAAAAGAGGCAATCAGAGATAAATTTATTTTGAGGTATAAGTCAAAAACAAAGAATAACTCCTTCTGACCAATCTGAATAAATCTGAATTATTTGCTCATTTGATTCCTATTAATATAATCAGTTAAAATCCCTGAATGACTTTGGGTAAGTAATTTAACTTATTTCAATCTTAGTTTCCCAATATGTAAAATGACAGACTTGGACAAGGTGATCTTTAAGGTGCTTTTCAGCATTAACATTCTAGGAGTCAAAAATGAAGAGCTAATAAGGCAAACATCTTTAAGCAGAATAAACAGACCTTTGCTGATCTCCACATTAGGAAGGTTGAAGATTTCAAGGTCCATCGTGGCTCCTTTAGTCCCTTCTGAGAGGTCTAAAAGGACCAGCCTGTCTGCAATGCCCTGTACAGTAAGAGAAAGAACATTACACTGAACATGGCCAGAGACTCAATTTAAATTCATTCAACAATGAGGACCAAAGGACAATAAACAGGCCTCCTACACTGTCTTTTAGTGTTAAGAAGAATAAGTAACACAGTAGCAGTAAAAGTGACATGCAAGCAAGAAATTATTAACTGTGGCCAGGCTTGATGGCCTGTAATCCCAGCACTTTGGGAGGCCAAGGCGGGTGGATTAGCTGGGCGACAGAGCGAGACCTCTATCTCAAAAAAAAAAAAAAAAAAAATTACGAACTTCAATAAGTAATCCTGTAGGCTTGACTACTAAAAGTTCTAAGCAGGGCTTAACTCACACGTCACAGATTGCAGGTTTCTTTGAGACGGAGTTTCACTCGTCGCCCAGGCTGGGAGTGGCAATGGTATGATCTCGGCTCACTGCAATCTCTGCCTCCTAGGTTCAAGTGATTTTCCTGCCTCAGCCTCCCAAGTAGATGGGATTACAGGCATGTACCACCATGCCCAGCTAATTTTGTATTTTTAGTAGAGAACGGGGTATCACCATATTGACCAGGCTGGTCATGAACTCCTGACCTCCAGGTGATGCCTTGCTTTGGTTCTCCGAAAGTGCTGGAAGTACAGGTGTGACCACTGGCGCTCTGCAGGTTTTCTTATTCCTTTTTTCTTTTTTTTTTTTTTTTTTGAGGAGGAGTCTTGCTCTGTCACCCAGGCTGGAGTAGAGTAAACTCAAGCCTGTACCTCCACCTCCCGGGTTCACAATTCTTCTGCCCTCGCCCGCTGAGATGCTGGGGATTCTACAGGCCTATGCCTCCAACACTATGGCTTTATTTTTTACATTTTGGTAGGCTGGGATTTACCATGTTGGCTAGGCCGTGTTTCGAATACTCCCTGACACTCAAGGTGATTCTGCCTGCCTCGATCTTCTC